TCTCATTGTGGTGTCTCCACACAGCTAGCTCACACTTCCTCGCAGTATGAGGCTCTCAGTGTGGTTGTATTTCTTACATGGTGGTTGACATCTAAGAGAGGAAATAGAAGCTGCAAGTCTTCTTAAAGGCTAGGTATGGAACTGAAATAGTGTCACTTCTGCCTTATTCCATTGATTAAGGCAAATCACATAACCAGTCCAGATCCAAGGAGGGAGCAAAATAGACTCCATCTCTTGATGTGAGCAGTGGTATAGAGGGAGGGGAGCAATTGATGGTGACCATCTCTGGGAATTATAAACCAGAGACTAACTGCAGGCATCCTTGCAAGAATATTGAAGCCTCTGTTATTGGAATGGTCCATGACCATGTATTCCCCATTAGCCAGTCTTATATTCTGCCATGACTGCCCCCTCGCTGCCATGTCAGGGGTTCTGGTTCCTCCTAAGATCACTCCCACATATATTAACCAGGTTTTTCTATTCCTTTGATGTGTAGCTTATTTTCCCCAAGTCAGGACTTAAGTTTTCCCACCCACCCATGATTTGCTAGGAATTGATCCTGGTTATTTCAGGATGTGATGGGAGCAGGTCTTGAGAAGAACAAATGTTATCTTATAAGGCACTTGCTTCATGTGAGGTCATTGCATAGTCTTGAGGAAAGGGGAAACTTTCTTGTTCTGCCTTGGCAAGAGGGCGGGGCTTGCTTCTCCTTTCACCTAGGAGAACTCAGGAGAATTTTTGAGATAAAAATTCTTAGGTTTGGTCCCGCTGTTGTGGCTCAGTAGTTGAGCGTCGACCCATGCACCAAGAGGTTGCCAGTTCGATTCCCGGTCATGGCACATGCCCAGGCTGTGGGCCAAATCCCCAGTGGGGAGTATGCAGGAGGTAGCCAATCGATGTTCTCTCTCATTGATATTTCTATCTCTCTCTCCTTTTCCCTTCATCTCTCTCTAAAATTAATAAAGAAAAAACATTTATAAAGAAAAGATTCTTAGGTTTGCCTAATGTCCTTATCCAAGTTCTCAGGGTCCTATCCTTTCCCTATCAGGGCCTTGACTTTGACATAGGAGACCTACTAAAGCTGTGCATTTAGAGTCCTTTGCAAACTCTGCAGCTTATAACCTACCTGATCCTGGATGTGATTTTCCACATGGTCTTTTTTTTTTTTTTTATCCTCACCCAAGGACATTTTTCCATTTTTTGTTCAGATAGAGTGGGAGGGAGAGAGAGAGAAACATCGACGTGAAAGGGACACATCAAGTGGCTGCCACCCGCACGACCTACCAGGGCCAGGGACAAACTGCAATTGAGGTACGTGCCCTTAGCGGGAACCGAACCCGGGTCTCTCTGGACCTCAGGCTGACGCTCTAACTAACTGCTGAGCCAAACTGGCCAGGGCCTCCACATGGTCTTCCCTTTACCACATGCGAAAGATTTAATCATGGTGATGCCAAATGAAGGCCAAGGTTATTATCACTTTACTTCCTACCAACAATGAGGTTCCTATTGCCTTTATTTATTTATTTAATCCTCGCCCAAGGACATTTTTTCATTTTTGTTCAGATAGAATGGGAGGGAGGGAGAGGAAGAGAGAGAGAGAGAAAGAGAAACATGGAGGTGAAAGGGACACATCGAGTGGCTGCCTCCTGCATGACCTCAACCAGGGCTGGGGACGAATTGTAAACGAGGTACATGCCCTTGACTGGAATCGAACCCACAACTCATTGGTCCGCCGGCTGATGCTCTAATCATTGAGCCAAACCAGCCAGGGCCCTATTGCCTTTATATTGGTGAAAAATCTAACCACAAAATCACACCCTAAAAGTCTGTTTTTTAGGACCTCTTCTGGTACTAAATGTCAGCCTATGTTCCCTAGAAAACAGAATCTGAATCAAAGGTTATATGCTGATGCTTTCTTGGAGGTTGCAATCTTAAGGAAGTAAAAGGGGAAAAGAGAAATGAAACAGAAGGAAGGAAAGAAATGCAAGCTGGTACATTATTTCACTGACCCAAAGCCAATGGTTCAGTTACATGGGCTTTCTTCACAGAGGGCATATGGAACCACTATATCTCAGAAAGGTGAGGAATTTATCTGTTAGCAATTTTTCATTGTCTGGTCTCATGGTCACCAGTGGGGTCTTAACGTTCTCAACTTTGGAATTGTGTTAACTCATTCCACTGGGTTGCTGCTGGAGAAGCTAAGGCCTTCTCTACCCAAGTAACTCCCTCTGCCCCATCCCAACATTGTTCTCTGTCCCTGTGGCATGTCTTTTCATTCACAGTCCTTGCTATTTGGCTGTCTTTGACACCAGGCCGTTGGTTTCACAAGGGCAAGGATCATATCTGTTTCACACACCAGGGTATCCCCAGTGCCTAAGTTAGAGCCTGGTATAGAGTAAATACTCAGTATAGTTTTGTTGAAAGAATAGATTAATTAGCAATTAATTCACTGTCACCACCCTGAGCCTGAAGAAGGTGGAGGCGGGGAGCTTGTGAGAGGATACAGAGGATGATGACCCAGTTATGGCCTTCTATTCCATGATGCCATAATCTGATTTATAAAAAACAAGTAAATAGCCCTGGCCAGTATGGCTCAGCAGTAAGAGCGTCGCCAGTGAACCAAAAAGTCCCAGGTTTGATTCCTGCCAAGGGCATGTACCTCTGTTGTGGTTTGTTCCCAGCCCCGGTTTGGGTTGTGTGGATGGCAACCAATCAATATGTCTCTCTCACATTGATGTTTCTCTCTCTCTCTCCCTCTAGCTCTATCTGAAGATTAGTGTAAAAGTATCCTTGAATGAGGATTAAAAAAACACAAAAAACAAGTAAATAGACAATTGCAAAACTGGTAAGTAATACAGTGAAGATCAAAACTGGAGGCAGTAGGAACTCAGAGAGGCCCATACCCCAGTGTAGGGTATGTATGTGATTAGAAGGGAGGCTGTGTTTTCATGATCCAGGGTACCAGCATCTCCCCAGAAGATTTATCTAGTTACCAAGCTCCATGTATTGTTTCTTGTTTGTTTGTTTGTTTTTAATGTGCTCACAGTTATAGAGCTAAGAGATAGAGGTGGAATTCAAAGCCAGGCAGTCTGCCTCCCCAGCCTATATTCACTAATTTGAGGTGAAATTCACATAACATAAAGTAAAACCATTTTGAAGTAAACAATTCAGTGACAGTTAGTACATTCACAATGTTGTGCAACCACCACCTCTACCTAGTTCTAAAACATTTCCATCACTCCAAAATAGAATCCGTTACCCATTAATCAGTTTACCCATTACCGTCCATGTACTATTTTTGACCCAATTGTAAAATTGAAGAAAGTGAGGCTCTGAGAAGTTTAATGATAGGTCCAATGTCACATAGCAGTAAAAGTGGAGTAGTGATTTTGAACCTTAATTTTCTGACTCCAGAGCCTAAACCTTTGATTAATACACATCTTTAGGCAAACCCACAAGGAGGGGGCTGGGCAAGGGTTTTAAAGAGAGTAAATTTTGTTGGATTTAGAAGCTGTAAGTTCACACTCAATTGTAAAAAATCAACCTTTATCTCTCCCCCATCTTTAAAAAAAATTTCCCCAGCTCTGTTGGGACTGATTATGCATTTACTTTTTTGATGGACTTTGGAAACTTGGGGCTTTTTATTTATTAAAGCTCTTTAGAATTAAAATGTTCTGGAGTTATAAGTAAAAAAACTAACAAACAAAAAAAATGCCCTGCCGGTGTGGCTTAGTGGTTGAGCGCTGACCCATGCACCAAGAGGTCGCCTGTTCAATTACTGGTCAGGGCACATGCCCAGGTTGTGGGCCAGATCCCCAGTGGAGGGCATGCAGGAGGCAAGCAATTGATGTTCTCTCTCATAGATGTTTCTATCTCGCTTTCTAAAATCAATAAAGAAAAAAAAATTGTTTTAAATGCACATTGAAGTAAAACTTGCAACTAGTACTGCACAAGTGATCAGCAGAGCCAAAAATAATGTAAGCCCAAGAGCAACTACAGGGCAGGGACTTGGAAAGGTCAGCCCTGCAGGAAGCTTCGCCAAAACCTCAAGAACAATAAGTTGGTTAATTCCTGGGGCAGACCCTTTATGGGCCAAGCTGGGCCTGAAGAGAAGCAGAGTAGCCAGGAGGGTGTGGCTTATTTCCTTAGGCAGGCTTGCCAGCCCCAGCCAAGAAACTCCAGGAGGTTTTCGAGAGAAGCTGGGGTGCAACTGGAAAACACAAATTAGGATCATGCTTCATCAGGCCAATTATATCCCACTCTTGAGGGGTCCTCCAGGGCAAGAGGATTCTCAGGAAGGCCTCGCTTTAGTATTTATTTGTCTTCCCCTTCCTGGAAGGGCTGTCATCACTCTAGCAACCCTCTTCCTCAACATAGGGGTGCTCTGTCTCCAAGTCAACGACCCCAGATTTCTTCCCTTTTTAGGGGTCTCAGACGATAGCATCCCACTAAGTTGCCTCTCATGGTTTCCCCTTATCCCTCGAGTGACTGGATTCTACGGGCCCCTCCTGCTTGGGGGTTGGAGGGGTTCTCTCACAAGCCCCCACCTTCAACCTCCAGGCGGTGCCCGAGTTCTACTACAACAATGCGCGGTATTCGGTTCAACTGCGCCTCTTCCGCTCCCAGAGGGCAGCTCCATGGAAACCAAAACATCACAATTCCGCGGAGGTATCGCGAGAGGTTCGGAGGCTACCGCGGGCTGGGAGAGGAGGGACGAGGGCGGGAACAAAGAGCGAAGTGGGAGGGGCCTAGGCGCTTCGGAGGTCGAGGCGGTAGACCGTCCCTCCCAGCAGCGCCCCCGCGTGACTGTGCTTTTACATAATCGAGGCCGCGCGCGTCATAAGTGGCGTACTCCAGTTCAGACCGAATCAGAGTCGTCGGAAGCTCCGTGTTCTGTCCCTTCGTGCTTGATGGATGTCGAAATGACCAGTGAACGGGCGCTCAGCGCCGCCGCGCCCGCCCAGGTCCGGCCTCACCCGCCCGCCCGTCAGCCTGCCGCAGCCCGCAGCCTGCCGCCGCCGCCGCCGCTGCTTCTGCCGGGTTGTGCATCAGACTGTCAGATAAAGCGGCTGGCTGAGCCGGCGGGGCGGCGAGCACGGCCCGGGCCGGACATGGCGGCGCTCTACGCCTGCACCAAGTGCCACCAGCGCTTCCCCTTCGAGGCGCTGTCTCAGGGGCAGCAGCTGTGCAAGGTGCGCGGGCTGGGGCGGCGGCCGGGAACTGGGACGCTGGAGGCGCGGCCCAGAGCTCGCTGTTCTGTGGGGACGCCCGGCGGGGGACCCCTGCGCAGGGCGTGGCAGGCTCGCTTAGCTGAGGAGCCGCACTCGCCCCGCTGGGGGCCGGTGGGGCTACTGGGGGAGTCCCGGACCAGGTCCAGGGCCCCTTGGCCGGCGTGTCCGGCTGCTTAGCAACGGCGAGGAATTGTTCTCGGACCCGGGGAGGTCGGGGGAGGGGACAGCAGGTCCCCTGCTTGGCCCCAACCAGCCGCGCTAGAGATCCTTCTTAGGCTGGCTGGCTTCCCCGCCGCCGGGGAATGCCTGGTTGCAGACTGAGGGACCCCCTGCCCCGCCAGAGTTGGGTGCTGCCTGAGAGGAGTGTCTGGAACTGGGGCGCCTTACATACACTTTTCAGCCAGGCTCAGAGTCGGAGATGGAGAAGCTTTTTAGAAAAGGCCCACAAACAAGCGCACGGAGCAAAAAGATGATTTTTCACCATCCAGTTGGTGACCTTTGGTCCTCATCCTAAGCAGCTGTTCAGTTTTTACCCCTGAAGGTTTAAGTTGTCTCTTTCGTTTAAGTTGCTTCATCTTGGTTTGCCCATTTAAGTGAATAGAAGAGCTGTGAGGCTGCAGTTAAAAGTTACCAAGCCAGCCTTAAAAAAAGACACTACAGTAGCTTTATATATGTAAGCAATGATTATTTTAATCCAGCACTTTCATTTCACAAGTGAGCCTGCTCAAAACTCACACAGTGGCAGTACCAGTGCCAGAACTGGACTAGAATCCAGGACTTCTGACTCCCAGTCTGGAGGCTTATTCATACATACCTTTGTTTTACAATTTATGACTACAGAGTAGTTCCATATACATTATGACTTATTTCCCATATCAGTGTAGGATAGTAATGCCAGTGTCACAGAGAAAAAAAAAAGAAGGCCCAGAAAGTTTTAAATGACTCAAGCACAGTGGCTGTGCTGGGAATAGTACCCAGGGCCATTAAGTACTGAAGGCTGTTTCCATTTCTGACTGCCTTTTAAAATTATATCCTCATTTCATTTCAGGAATGTCGGATTGCACACCCTGTTGTGAAGTGCACCTACTGTAGAACTGAGTACCAGCAGGAGAGGTACAGTTTATGTTGACCATGAAAAATGTTAATAGGCTTTTTCCTGTTAAAAATCTGTAATCGAGCCCTGGCCGGTTTGGCTCAGCGGTTAGAGCGTTGGCCTGCGGCCCAGAGAGACCCGGGTTCGATTCCCGCTAAGGGCATGTACCTCGGTTGCAGTTTGTCCCCGGCCCTGGTCGGTCGTGCGGGTGGCAGCCACTCGATGTGTTCCTTTCACGTCGATGTTTCTCTCTCTCTCCGTTCCTCTCTCTCCCTCCCACTCTACCTGAACAAAAAATGGAAAAATGTTCTTGGGTGAGGATAAAAAAAAAAAAAATCTGTAATCGAGCTTAGCTGGTGTGGCTCAGTGAATTGAGTGTCATTCAGTGGACTGAGAGGTCCAGGTTCCATTCCCAGTCAGGGCACATGCCTGGGTTTCCTGCTGGATCCCCAGTAGGGGGTGTGCAGGAGGCAGCTGGTCGATGTTTCTCACATTGATGTTTCTATCTCTCTCTTCCTCTCTCCAAAAAATCAATAAAAACATGTTTTAAAAAATCTGTAATCGATTGCATTTCAATGTACAGATCTGTAATCAATTGCATTTTACACAGATTCTGCAGTTTTTGTTCTTCTCCACAGAAATCTTTAGTAAAAGGTGAAAGAATTAGCCCTGACCAGGTGGATCAGTTGGTTGGAGTGTTGTCCCATACACCAAAAGGTTGAGGATTTGATTCCTGGTCAGGGCACATAGCTAAATTTTGGGTTTGATCCACTGTCCAGGTGCCTATGGGAAGCAGCTGAAGGCAGTGGGTCAATGTTTCTCTCACATTGATGTTTCTCTTTCTCCCTTCCTCTCTCTCTAAAAATCAGTGAGAAACATAAAACAAATGAGAATTAAAAAAAAAAAAGGCAAACGATTTATGTGATCTGAAGAGAAACTAGAGTATGATTCTGCATTTTTTTTTTTTTTTCCTCACCCGAGGACATTTTTCCATTTTTTGTACAGATGGAGTGGGAGGGAGAGAGAGGAAGGGAGAGAGAGAGAAACATCGACGTGAAGGGACACATCGAGTGGCCGCCACCCGCACGACCAACCAGGGCCAGGGACAAACTGCAACCGAAGTACGTGCCCTTAGCGGGAACCGAACCCGGGTCTCTCCGGACCGCAGGCCGACGCTCTAACCACTGAGCCAAACTGGCCAGGGCGATTCTGCATTTTTTAAAAAAATGTTTCTCTTTATTGATTTTAGAGAGAGAGGAAGGGAGAGGGAGAGAGAGATGGAAATATCAATGAGAGAGAACATCAGTTGGCTGCCTCCTGCATGCCGCTCACTGGGGATCGGGCCTACAACCTGGGCACGTGCCCTGACTAGGAATCAAACCAGTGACCTCTTGGTGCATGGGTCGATGCTCAACCACTGAGCCACACCAGGTGGGCGATTCTGCATTTTTTTTATAACACATTGATGGGTATAAAATACACATGTTCCCTAATTATGCATTAATGGCTTAATTTAAAAATATTTTTATCGATTTTTAGAGAGAGGGAGAGAGATATGAGAGCAAAACATCGATTGGCTGCCTCCTTGGTGCCATCTACTGGAGGTCAGTTCACAACCCCAGCATGTGCCCTGACTGGGAAGGGAACCTGCAACCTTTGGTGCACAGGACAACATCCAACCAGTTGAACCACACTGGCCAGGGCAATGGCTTAAATTTTTTAAGTTTCTTTTTTTTTTTTCCCTCACCTGAGGACATTTTTTAAAAATATTTTGTTCAGATAGAGTGGGAGGGAGAGGGGGAGAGAGAAACATCGACGTGAAAGGGACACATCGAGTGGTCGCCACCCTCACTACCCAACCAGGGCCGGGGACAAACTGCAACCAAGGTACACACTGCAACCAAGGTACGCACCCTTAGCGGGAACCGAACCTGGGTCTCTCTGTACTGCAGGCCGACGCTCTAACCGCTAAGCCAAACCGGCCAGGGCTTATTTTCTCATTTTAAAAAGAGTGAAAAATACTTAGGTGTGAGTGAACACACATCTTTGGGGTGGTGGGAGGCTTTTCTATAGCAGCAAAAAGTGGTTTATTTAAGTTCATTCTTTGTGGAGCTGCACCTGTAAGCACAGTGAGGTCTGTTTGCTAGCTCACATGTGGAAACACAGAATATACTATAGAAGCTTTGTTTTTTAGCTTTTATATTTAGGTTTAGGATCCATCTTTTATTTTTGTGTGTGGGGTGAGATATGAAGTTTGACCCTTAATTCATACCATACATAAACATTAATTCAAGATGGATCAAGGAAATGGTTTTACTTTGCATGTTTTCTATGATGTTAGGACCATTTGTATATATTATATATATCCCACTCCTTCAATAATAAATCTAAGTATAAACCAAAATGTTCAGTATCACAGAATCATTGATACTAATCCTCTTTCTAAAAGTCTCTCAATGTACTTAACTTCTTGTACTGCGTTTTTAAACTTGCAGAAAGTTGACCTGGAAAATATTTTCTTTGAATATCTCATTTTAATTTAAATGTTTAAAAACCTACTTTGAGGTTTTTCTTTTGTCTGTTTTAACTTTATGGTGACTTTCATAGGAGTTGTATGGTAAAATAATCATAAGTGAATAGGCTACATTCACTATATTGTGATTTTGTGTAATTTTATTTTTATCTCCAGAATATTATTTAAACTGTTCTTGCACATCAGGCACTTGTTTGTACCCTCATTTGTGAAGGGCTAGACTTTCTTTGAAGATGATTTTTTCTCCATAAAGCAGTTTATCAGTTCAGGCATTTAGGTAATAATATGACCTCTGGCAAAAGACATTTTTATTTCTGTCAGTTCTTGGTTCTTATAGAAATTGGAAATACTGACAAAATATTTGGTCATAACATTTATAACCTCACATCTAGGATTTTCATTTTTTTTTTTTTTTTTGGTATGTGCCCCTAGTAGGAACCAAACCTGGGACTCTCTCTGGTCCACAGGCCAACGCTCCAACAGCTGAGCCAAACCGGCCAGGACTTTTTTTAAAAATTTTTTTTAATTGATTTTTAGAGAGAGAGGAAGGGAGAGAGAGACAGAAATGTCGATGATGAGAGAGAACATTGATTGGCCGCCACCTGCATGCCCGCAACTGGGGACTGGGCCCACGACCTGTGCATGTGCCGTGACTGGCAATCGTACCAGCAATGGAACCGACAACCTCTTGGTGCATGGGTCGATGCTCAACCACTGAGCCACACCAGCCAGGCATAAATAACACTATTTTAAATCAAAGCCTTGTTTTATGTGAGTTAATAAAATTAATAACTACAAAATAAGCCCTGGCTGGTTTGGCTCAGCAGATAAAGCATTGGCCCCCAGACCAGAGTCTCCTGGGTTCGATTCCTGCAAAGGGCACATATACTTAAAAAAAGAAAAAGAATAAAAAAATAACTACAAAATAATTAAAAGAGCGATTGACCAAGAAAAAAAATTAAAAGAGCTAATGGCCAAATATTCAACCTTCAGTTAACCAAATGTCCGGACTATATTTCTCCTTGGCACTTAGCAATGAGCAAATTCCTTGGGCTTAAGGAGGAATCAATGTTTAGATATTCTAAGTAAAACAATGTTTTTCTTATAGAAGTCTTTTGTCTCTTTCTTCCTGTACAGTAAAACCAGTACAATATGTAAGAAATGTGCTCAGAATGTGCAGTTGTATGGAACGGTAAGTAGTTTTCTCTGTACCTAACAGTGAGTGTTTAGGTCTCTTGGGACCTTATATTCTGTAGACTATTAATGTAATTAGCATTAACAAACAATTTTTTTTTTCTTTTTTGATTTTTAGAGAGAGAGAGGAAGGGTGAGGAAAGAGAGATAGAAACATTGATGAGAAAAGAACATCAATTGGCTGCTTTCCGAATGCCCCGCACTGGGGATTGGGCCCACAACCTGGGCATGTACCCTGACCAAGAATCGAACTGGTGACCTCTTGGTGCATGGGTTGATGCTCAACCACTGAGCCACACTGGCCGGGCTGTAATTAGCATATTTTTATTAGAAGAACTAGTTATATGTAAATACTTCCTCATAAAAATTTCTTTAGTGTTTGAGTTTTCAAGCTCAGCTAATACTTAGTTTTGAGGAGTTCTGTATTTATAATCACTAAGTCAGGATTGTAATTATAATTTTCCTGAGAGGCTTCAGTAACCAATATGGAAAGAGGAGGAGAAAGAGGGATTTTATGACTTGATCTCTTTGTTTGGTAGCAGTTCACTATTCATTTGATGAATGATTTTTTTTTCTTTCAGGGTTAGGATTCAGAATACTATGTCCTAGCAACCATTTCTCCTAACATGTTTATATAATGATAATGGCAAAGAGGCCTTTTTCAGAAATTTGGAAGCACTTGATGGTTTCTCCAATGAGCTGGTTCTGTTCAATTTCTCATAGAAGTCCCAGCATATACACTAATGGGTTTTTGTTATTTGTTCATTTATTTATTTTAAAATCAATAGTCCTCTCCATAAAAACACTTTACATGGTGTTAGGAATTGGCTTCACTTGATCAATCAATGTAAAAGGAAACTTACGAAGTTGGGAATACGTTTTTATCATGATGAATGGACTATGTAATACGAATCATTGCTTTCAAAAAGGCATTGGTATTTTATAATATACTTACTTGACCCCTTTTTTCTCTTTAAGCCCAAACCTTGTCAGTATTGCAATATAATTGCAGCATTTATTGGCAATAAATGCCAGCGCTGCACAAATTCAGAGAAGAAGTATGGACCACCATATTCTTGTGAACAGTGCAAGCAGCAGTGTGCATTTGACAGGAAAGATGACAGAAAGAAGGTAAATCACTGTTTTTCTTGATTTTTTTTTCTTTCAGAGCAATTAAAGTGGGCCAGTTGTGTTAAAAAGACATATAACAGAGATAATGTATTATAGAATTGTACACCTGAAATCTGTATAATTTTGTAAACCAACATCATTCCAATAAATTCTATTAAAAAAAGACATATAACAGAAAAAGGTTTCTCACTTTCACTGCTACTTCTGTTATTGACCTCAAAGATGATACTCAGCCTTTGTTTTCTTCATTATCAAATGTGGACTCTTAATCTAACATCTCATGAGTTAGTATTTCATGAGAATCTGAATTATAGTGATCAATATCCACATAAGTGAAGTGGTGATTAGCAGAATTCTATAGAACTCTGTAAAGGAGAGATTGTGACTCAAGCAAGAGTTGTACAAACAGTTTTACTGTCTGGTTCTTTCATATTTTATTACTCCACCTGAGGATAAATTTTTTTAAAAATTATTATTGATTTGAGAGAGAGAAAGAGAGAGAGAGGAAAAAAAGAACGATGTGAGCCCTGGCCGGTTTGGCTCAGCAGAAGAGCGTCGGCCTGTGGACCAATGAGTCGCAGGTTCGATTCCGGTCAAGGGCACATATCTTGGTTGCAGTTCATCCCTGGCCCTGGTTGGGGTTGTGCGGCAGGCAGTCAAGTAGGTATGTCCCTCTCACATCAATGTTTCTCTCTCTTTCCCTTTCTCTCCCTCCCACTGTATCTGAAGATAAATGGAAAAATATCCTCAGGTGAGGATTAAAAAAAAACAAAACGAAACATTGATGTGAGAGAGAAATATTGATGGGTTGCGTCTCTTATGTTCCTTGACTGGAGATCAAACCCACAACCTGGGTACGTGCCCTGACTAAGAATTGAACCTGCCATCTTTGGTGTATGGGATGACTCTCCAACCAACTGAACCACACTGGCCATGGCTTACTGTCTGGCTGATTAAATGTTTTTATCTGTTGAAGTTAAAGAACATAAGATGATGACATAGAGGGGAAACTGTGTGAAATGATGGTACTTTGGTGGAATCACAGTGGTTTAGCTTTTTTTCTGTTTAAAGCCCTGCAGTGAGTTCCAGTCGCACTTAGAAGAAAACCCAAACTCCGTCCATGCTTACAAGGCCCATACCCAACTCTGAGTCTCATCTGCCATCAAATTTCCCACTTCTTACCTGTTCCAGCCACATTGGCCACCTTTCAGTCCTTCAAATTTCCACCTTTTTACTGGCTTTCCTTTTGCCTGATACCCCTTCTCCAAAATTTCTTAACTTGTTTCTCATGTCACATCTCAGCTCCAATGCCAGCCACCTCCTTACAAATACATTTTACTAACTTCCTCAGTCACTCTTTATCCTATTACCGTTTTATTGTCTTCACAGCATGTAGCATTATGAAAAATTATCTCATAAGCTTAAAAGTTTATCCATACCCACTAGAATGTGAGGTCTTTGTCCATCTTGTTCTCTGCTATATTTCCAGCAGTCTGGCACATAGTATATGTGTGCTTGCTTGATCTCCCCTCCCCCCCGCCACTTCTCTCTCCCCAGATAGATAGATAATAGATAGATAGTAGATAGATAGATAGATACATATACCCATCTATCTACGTGTATATAGATATAGATAGATTTTATTTTTATTTATTTTTAAAATGAGAACATTAATATAATTGCCCTTGGGCTGTCTTTTTCCTTTTTAAATTTTTTTTTCTTTTTATTGATTTTAGAGAGAGAGGAAGGGAGAGGGAGAGAGAGATAGAAACATCGATGAGAGAGAACATCAATTGGCCGCCTCCTGCATGCTTCCAACTGGGGATTGGGCCCACAACCTGGGCATGTGTCCTGACTGGGAATTGAACTGGCTTCCTCTTGGTGCATGGGTCGACTCTCAACCACACCAGCCATACGATAGATTTTAGATGGATAAGAACCATACTTTATTGAAAATGATTTTCTCTCCCTTTTAGCTGTCTTGTCTGATATGGCCAAAATATTGATCTGAACTAGATCTTCCAGCTGTTATTTGTTGAGAAAAAACTATGATTCTCATTTTCTACTTCTTAAAAACTGACTAAATTGGCTTTTTATTTTTTACTAAGGTGTAATTGACATACAACATTATATGAATTTCAGGTGTATAACAATGATTTGAAATTTATATATATTGCGAAATAATCACAGTGAGTCTAGTTAACATTCATCACCATAGTTACAGAATTTTTTTTCTTATGATGAGGACTTTTAAGATCTACTTTCTTAGCAACTTTAATATATACAATATAGTATTAGCTATAGTCCCCATTGCTGTATGTTATATTCCCAGGACTTACTTTTTTATTTTATTTATTTATTTATTTTTGCAATTTCTTTCAGCTTTTATTAATATGAAACTTTCTCTTAGAGCTGTTTTTTTTGGACTTACTTATTTTATAACTGTTTGTACCTTTTGACTACCCATTATGCCTACCTCTCACCCCTACTTCCGGCAACCACCAATCGGTTTTCTTCCATAAATATTTTTTGAATGAAAAAATTTAGTACAGAAACTTTTTTAGTAGCCATAGGTGCTTTTCAAAGATGCTTAGGCTCTCAAGAGCTGACTCTTGCTAACCAAATTCATTAATTTTCAATGGGAGGATATAACTTTCCAATGACCAGAATACACCTGCCTGCCAGCCAGGGCACCTCTTCCCTGAATCAAGATACTGAAGAAGCTGAATTAGTAATCGGGAAGTAGCATGCAGTAATAGTTGGAACATAAGCTTTGCAGTCCCTCCCATCTGGTCTAGCTGAATGGTCTGGGCAAGTTACTCTTGTTATATATCAATTTAATCATCTCTCCAGTGGGAGTAACAATAGCTAGTTCACAAGGACATAGGGAATTTAATCAAGACAGGTATATAATATAAGCACTTAATTTTGACATATAATATAACTCAGTTAAAGGTATTTATATTATTATTAATTAGATTACACTAGAATTCATTAAATTTCTACTTTCTAAGTTACAACCCTACCTTAAGAGTATGGATATTTTTAGGCATCCTCAATAACATGTTCATAAACTTAAGGAGAACTAAGCTTAGGGGTTGAGGGTGAGTGATCTGAATTCAGAAAGCCTGAGTTGAAATCTTGGTGCTGTCACTTACTGCTCTGTGACTTTGGGCAAGTTAATCTATCATTGCCTCAGTTTCCTCATCTGTGAATGAGGTAGATCAGACCTCATCATTGTTATGAAGTTTGAGTTATTATGTGTAAAGCCCTTGGAAAGGAATCTGGAATATGATAAGGACTCAGTCGATGTTATCTGTGATGCTTTCTTTATGATACTTTAATTCTCAGGGTTAATTTTATATTTTTCAAGTTTATTGTTAAAGGAGAGATCTGAAATAAAGTGCCCTGTGGTGTGGTGTGTTATTTTTGTGTTTAAAGTTGGCTCTCTTTCACTGGAGTTACCTTGTTTTCAAACCCTTCTTTAGTGAAAGCTCTTTCCTAAGCAAGGTCTTCCAAAGTGTTTTAAAGTCAGGCCTTCAGGCCATATCCATAACATGAAATGAACCAGATTGAAGTTTGGTTCAAAATTCATTTATATGTTCATTAACCAATAATAAATGCTTATTCTAGGTAGTAGAAATACACTAATGAACTAAACAGAAAAAGAGATGGGTGCGAACAAAGAAATAAATGAACACAAATTGTAGATGTTAGTGCTATAAAGAAACAGTACATGGTAGAGAGTGACTAGGGAGATTATTTTATTTTATTTTATTTTTTGGGTAATCCTCACCTGAGGATATTTTTTCCATTGGTTTTTAGATAAAAGAGAGTGAGAGGGAGGGAAGGAAGGGAGAGAGAAAGAGGGAGAAACATCGATGTGAGAGAGACACATCAATTGATTACTTCCCGCATGTGCTCCAGCAAGGGCCAGGGATTGAACCTACAACCCAGGTACCTGCCCTTGGCCAGGAATTGAACCTGTGACCCTTCGGTTTGTGGGGCAACACTGGCCAAGACGGGAGGCCAGTTTAGATTGAGCAATCAGGAGGACCTCCAAGAAGATAACATTTGAGCTAAAACTGGAATGAGAAAATAGCAGCCATGATGTTTCTAGAGGGAAAAGATTCCAGGAAGAAGGACCAGGTACCTGCCCTTGACCAGAATCAAACCTGAGACTCTGGTCCACAGACCAATGCTCTAAGCGCTGAGCCAGACCAGCCAGGGCAAAAAAGTTTAAATTTTATACTAGATACAATGAGAAACCATTGGATTTCAAAAAGATGAGAGATATAATCAGATTTACATTTAAGAAGCCCTCTTTGGAAGCTAGGTGGAAATGGTATATAAGAACCTATGAGTGGAATTAGGATCATTTGGGTGGCTCTTGCAGTTGTGAGAGAGAAGAATGGCTTTACTTGTGTGGAGGCAGTGGAGTGGGATAGATTCAGATTGATGGACTTGCTAATGGGTTGCAGGGTTGGGGAATGTCCGGGTGGCTAAATCAATACCAGTTAACATCACCTTCCTCATCAAATGTGGGTTTTTTAATTGATTTTTTTTTAGAGAGAGAGGAAGGGAGAGAAAGATAGGAACATTAATGTGAGAGAGATACATCCATCGGCTGTCTCCTGGGAATTGAGCTTGCAACCCGGGCATGTGCCCTGACTGGGAATCGAACCGGGGACCTCTTAGTTCATGGGACGACACTTAGTCCACTGAGCCACAGCGGCCAGGCAGCCTCACCAAATTAGCCTGACTAAATATATAGAAGGCTAATTTTTTTTTTAAAACCTCACCCGAAGATACTTTTTTCCCCATTTATCTTCAGATAAAGTGGGGGGCGGGGGAGAAACATCAAAGCGAGAGAGACACATTGACTGGTTGCCTTCTGCACGACCCCGCCCAGGGCCAGGGACCAAACCACAACTGAGGTACATGCCCTTGAATGGAATTAATCTCGTAACTCTTTGGTCTGCAGGCCAACGCTCTAGAGCCAAACTGGCCAGGACAGCAGGCTAATTTTTTTTTTTTTTTTTTTGGAGGCGGCACCCAGATATGAACTGAGCAGGCTAATTTTTAAGTTGATAATTTTGTATGGACCACGAATTATGTTATAAATATCCAAATGTTTGTTGGCAGAAAAAAGTTTCTCCTGGGTTACAAATTGGATTTTGCTAACAAGATAAAAATACTTTAGATAAATGATGGTATGACCTACCCATGTTCAAGATGGAGCACAAGATCTAATTTCAGGAATAAGACATGAACATTAAAATTCCATAAAATATCAGCACACTTCCTACCCACCCTAAGTCATTCCAACCGGCTCCGTCACCCTGCCTCCTGCACCAGGCTGTCCCACAAACGATTTTACGGTCAGTGCTGCACTGAGGCACCCCAGCTTCAGAGGATTTGGGAACCCCCATTCTGCTTTCCTATCCCTGTGTCCTGCTCCCTGGTGCAGCACTGCTTCTGCCCAAAGGGACTAACTTTTTCTTATTCAGAGTGCCATGCCAGGCTATTACCAGGGACTGGGACCTGAAAACTACTCACTCATCGGTCTTTTTTGGGAGATATTCTATCTGAGAAAAGATATCCAGCATACCATTTTGTAAGCCATTTATAAGGTATTAAAACTGAAGTATAAATTTGATATTTTATCTTCTGTCTTCTCTCTGCTGAATTTTCCTAACAAGCACCATGGAGATATTTGCGTCTTGAAATTCTTGGAACTTTGCTCTAATATCTGTTAAATTGAAGAAAAACTAAACAAAAAGGTACATGAAATTAGCAACTCATACTTATTAAGCACTTTTTATGTGCCTGGCACCATGCTTTACCCATATTCTGCCACTAAATCCAACAGCCCTCTGAAATGGGTACTATTATACCCCATTTTACAGATGAAGAAATTGAGCCCAAGGGAGCTCAAATGATTTGCCTAAGTTCATGCAGTTCATAAGTGGCAGAGCTGGGACTCAGCCCAGAGGTTCTAGCTCCCTATACTCATGTTCTCTAGTACCCTTGTATCTTGTTCCCTCTTCTTTATCTTTGTCGCCTTGTCTTTCAGGTAGATGGGAAGTTGCTATGCTGGCTGTGCACGCTTTCATACAAACGAGTCCTTCAGAAGACCAAAGAGCAGAGGAGGCACCTGAGCAGCTCTTCCCGTAGCCATCAGGAGAAGGAGCAGTACAATCGACTGAGTGGTGGCAGCCATTATAACAGGTAACCCCCAGATACATAAGATAGGACTAGAGGTGCCAGAAGGCCAGATGTAATGTTTACACAATTAGCCATAGAAGATACCATTTTGTAAAAATTTTTCTATTTTTTTTCTCTAGTTATTAGCCTATAGGAGAAATCTCCTTTGTCATATTTTACAACTCATTTGTTTTCCAAGAGCCACAGAGACTTCCATAAGGTGTCAGAATTTCCTGGCTTGATTTGTGTTGTGTCTAAAGTTTGTGGAACTTACTCTACTTTCACATGTAATGTTCTCCTTGCTCTTAAAGTGGGTTATCTCCCTGGAAGACTGGACATTTCACTTTCTGAGGGATATAGCTTTTTAATGTATATTTGGCCAGGAGGTTGATAGATGTTTTAGGTTTTTCCTGATAGTGTTGTTAAGAGTTCTGGCTCTGGACTGAATCCGGCTTTTCCAGGTTCTCTGCATGAGATCTTGGACAAGTTTTTTCATCTGTAAAATGAGAGAAATAATACTATTGCCTCATGGAGTTGTAAAGATAAATTATATAACTCATGCAGAGTGATTAGTTTTATAACTGGCATATAGGAAACATTCTATACATTTTAGTTACTCTTGGTTATTATTACCATTATGATTTTCTTTATTCATCTAGCTAACATTAAGTACTCTCATGGGCCAGGCACTGCTAGGAATGCTGAGATGAATAAAAGAATCATGCTGCTCACCAAGAGTATGCAGTCTGGTAGGGAAGACAGACCTGTAATCGAATCACTGCAGTATATTTCTATGGAAGCATGGAAACGTTAATTCCACAGTGGAGACGTCAAGATACAGGCATGAGAGGCAGTAGTAATTAACTGCCTTAGGAAGTCAGGTAAGAAAGGCTCAGAGAGGAGCTGGTGTTGGAGCTGTATTTTAGGATGAGTTGGATCATCAGATAAGGAATAGGCAGAGGCATCCTAGGCTGAGGGAATAACACGTACACAAATATATGGAGGATATGAGACCACATGGAACTCTGGGGAATTGCAAATCTTTTATGTTATTGGAGCTTATGATTGGGAGCTGGGAAATGGGAGGAAAAGGTTTTCTGCAGATCTGGTAAGGCACATGAAATTGTTCATGGGGTCAATAAAAAAAATTAACCCTGATTATTATGGAGAATGCATTGTAGAAAAAGGAGTCGGGAGATGGGGGGAGGCTAGTTAAGAAGCTATTGTTTGTAAAGTCCAGTGTCATCCCATGTACCAACAGGTCGCTGGTTCGATTCACGGTCAGGGCACATGCCCCAGTTGCAGGCTTTATCCCCAGTAGAGGGTGTGCAGGAGGCAGGCGATCGATGTTTCTCTTTCATGATTGTCTCACCACTGAGTCGATTGTACTGCTCCTTCTCCTGGTGGCTACGGGAAGAGCTGCTCAGGTGCCTCCTCTGCTCTTTGGTTTCTCTCTCTCTCTCTCTCCCCCTTCCTCTCTCTCTCTAAAATCAGTAAAAACATATTTTTTGAAAAACAAAACAAGAACCTCACGGAGCCAATAGAACCAAAGATCAAAGAGGCAGATCCAGGAAGATACTTTAAAGGGAGAATTAGATAATTTGATGAACATATAGATAGATGGGCAGGAGCTGGGTGAATAAAGGATAATTCTCAGTTTTCTTAGATCCTTAACTTACAGAGAATGTAGGAAGGGTAGAAGAGAAGTTCAGTTTTGAAAAGTTGAGTTTGAAGCATCAAAAATAATTTTTAAGTGAAAGCTTAGCCTAGAACTCAGAAGAGAGGTTTTAGATATGGGGCATTGGTTATACATAAGAGTAGTTACACTTAATAGAGATTATTTAAAAATGCAGATTCCTGTGGCCCCACCCCAGAGTTTAATTTAGTAGGATCTAGGATAGAGTCCAGGAATCTGCATTGTTTTATAAATATCCCAGATGATTCTGATGTAGGTGATCTGAGGAACACTATTTCCAAACACTGTGATAAGTAGTTGTTGATATAACTCAGGTTGGAGGCTGAGACCAGAACTTTAGAAGCATTCAAGGATGGAATGAATATCTGCAAGCCATATATCTGATAAGGGGTTAATATCCAAAATGTATAAAGAAGTCATACAACTCAATAGCAAAAAGTAAATACAATTAAAAATGGATAAAAGGCCCGGGCTGGTTTGGCTCAGCGGTAAGAGCGTCGGCCTGCAGACCAGAGAGTCCCGGGTTTGGTTCCCACTAAGGGCACGTACCTCAGTTGCAGTTTGTCCCCAGCCCTGGTTGGGGTCGTGTGGGTGGCGACCAGTCGGTGTGTCTCTCTTGCATTGATGTTTCTCTCTCTCTCTTTTCCTCTCTCTCCCTCCCGCTCTATCTGAAGATAAATGCAAAAAAAAAAGTCCTCGGGTGAGGATAAACAAAATTTTTAAAAAATGGGTAAGAGGACCCAGACAGACATTTTTCCAATGCAGATATACAAATGGCCAATAAATACATGAAAAGGTGCTAAATATCACTAATTGTAAGGGCAGTGCAAATCAAAACTGCAATGAGATATCACCTCACACCTGTTAGGATGGTTATAAAAAATACAAGAGATAAATGTTGGCTGAGTTACAGAGAAAAGGGAACCCTTATACACTGTTGGTGGGAATGTAAATTGGTACAGCCATTGTGGAAAAAAGTATTGTCGTTCTTCAACAGATTAAAAATAGAACTACTGATGATCCAGCAATCACTTCCAAAGGAAATGAAATCGTTATCTCAAAGAGATATCTGCACCTCCACGTTCATTGCCGCATTATACACAATAGGCAATCAAGTTAAATGTTCTTTGACAGATTAATGGATAAAGAAAATGTGATGTGATTCACACACACACACACACACACACACACACACACCATGGAACATTATTCAGTTGTAAAAAGGAAGGAAATCCTGCCATTTGTGACAGCATGGATGAAGCTGGAGGGCATAGTGCTAAGTGAAAAAAGAGAAAGACAAAGACTGTGTTGTATCACTTTTATGCAGAATCTTTTTTAAAAAACTGATTTCATAGAAACAATGGAATGGTGTTTGCTAGGGGTTTGAGGAGGGGGAAATGAGGAGATGTAGGTCAAAGGGTACAAACTTTCAGTTATAAGGAGAATAAGTTCTGAGGATCTGATATACAGCAGTGACAATAATTAACATGGTGGTATATACTTGAAAGTTGCTGAGAGTAGATCTTAAGCATTTTCACCATGAAAAAAAAGTTAACTGTGTGAGGTTATGGATGTATTAATTATCTTTATCTTGGTAATCATTCCATAATGTATATCAAAACATCACATTGTACATTTTATGTATCTACATTTATGTTTGTCAATTATTCCTTAATAAAGTTGGGATAAAATGATGGCATGGTCAGTGGTATCAAATATTGAAAAGAGGTCAAGTAAGAAAGGATCTGAAGCACTTTTAAGGCTTAGCAATTGTACATCCATTAAAGCAAAAGTGTTGCAGACCAGTTTTAGAGGATGAACTTATTAGGGCTAAAACTGATTTTTAGCATTGTTGTGGGACTCACATACCAGTAGATTCACAGGACATAGTAAAGAAAAACTGGACTAGGAGTTCAAATATGTCAACCTGGTGTCTAGTCCCAGCTTTACTATTAACTAGCTGTATATTCTTAGGTAGGTCAATTAACATTGATGAGCCTCAGTTTCTGCAAAGTAGAAATAATATCTTGTATATACCTCATAGATTGATAAAATGCATGTGAAACATTGAATGTAAAAGTACTTTTTAAACTGTAAGGTAGATTATACTTCTTGAAATTTTATCGACTGTTCTCATAGTTATTAATAAGGCAGGTATTATTTAATTAAGGCTAAGAATTTTGGAGGCCTATGGAAATGAGCCACCCATACATCCAGGAAATCAACACCTTGGTGAATTTTAATAATCAACAATAAATAGCTCTTGCATAGAAGAGCTATATTACATTGGTCTCATTGGGTACTTTAATTGTGATGCGTTACTAATTTTTTATTTCTAATGTGTGTCTCTCTATTTTTGCCATTAAAAGCCAGAAAACACTTTCTACATCTTCAATTCAAAATGAAATCCCAAAGAAAAAATCCAAGTTTGAGTCAATCACAACCAATGGAGACAGGTGAGCCAATTGGAGTGTGTGTGCATGCTTCGTTTGAAATGCACATACAGTTCCTGAAATAAAAATACATTTTAGGGTATGCTTGGAGCTACTGTATGATTGTCAGTGAACCTATTAGGGTCACTATACTAACCACTTGATATCTTATAAACAAGCATTACTGATATTTGTTTATAAATCTAATCTTGTTATTAAATAATAGACAGGAACATATAACTGGATTTAATAGCTGTCAAATTTTGCAATCCACAAATAACTCCACGCTAATTCTAAGAATTCAACAGGTGGATGCCTTTCATTATGATCTGTGCCTGTGGCCTCCTGCAGGCAGGATAGAAGTCAGTCTGGAGAGGCAGAGCAGAGACAATTTGGAGTTAAGGCAGTGCTGTTCAGGATCCGTGCTTCCTTAGCCTACAGAAAGACAGTCCGATGCAGAATCTAGCTCAGGAAAGAATGAGATGCATTTAAATATTTTTGTTTCATTTTAAGCCTGTCTAAATGTACATTTTTATGCCTTTTATCCCTCCTTCTCAACAATGCTTCCTCTAATGAGCTTCATTGTCCTGATACCTGGAATGTCCTATCCGTGTTGGTACAGTGGATTGCCTCCCAACAGTCTTGGGCCCAACCATTTTTTTGTTTCTCCAGGGTCCAGGATCCTGAATGAGACCACCTAACATACTGTTCCCTAAATCCTTGGAATCATTCTGAAGACTTCTCTCAATCTCAGTTCTCCCTTCCAGACAGTGGTGGATTTGGGAGCAGATAAGCATATAGGTTTACCAGGGCTGAATTTTGTGTATTTAAGGAAGTAAAAAGTGTCTGTGAAGTTTACTCTTTCTTATTACCTTCTTCATTAACTTTATTTCAGACTCTGCAAAGTGTCTTTTTAACAACTAGCATCAATGATTTTAAACTTCTTGAGTTGAACCTTTTGAAATGCTTACCTTAGATATTCAAATTACATGGGGAAGGAACTATAAAGCCCATCTTTCTGGTCAGCTTTACTGTTCTTTGAACAGCTAACTAGTCTGGCCGTTCTGAAGAAAGTAGATGTGGCATAGATTGTCCCGTCACCTCTGCCAGGTACAAGACCCTGCAAAAATGGAATGAACCTTTCTGAATGTCCTGCTTTATAAAGGCCTAAACCAAGACCCACAGCCTTTAGAGTCATTATTTGTGTTTTGTGTTCACTTATGACCCAGGCTGTTTTTGAATGAGCTAGAAAAAGCTCATTCATATCTTTTATTAATATTATTTTTTTATCCTCACCCGAGGACATTTTTCCATTGTTTGTTCAGATAGAGTGGGAGGAAGAGAGAGAGAGAGAAAGAAACATCGACGTGAAAGGGACACATCAAGTGGTTGCCACCCGTACGACCCAACCAGGGCTGGGGACAAACTGCAACTGAGGTACGTGCCCTTAGCGGGAACCGAACTTGGGTCTCTCTGGACCGCAGACCGACGCTCTAACCGCTGAGCCAAACCGGCCAGGGCTCATTCATATCTTTTAGTTTAGTTCCTTTTTTGTTTTGTTTTGTTTTTTTCTATTGATTTTTAGAGAGAGTAGAAGGGAGGTAGGGAAGGGGAGAGACAGAAACATCAATGTGAGAGAGACATCAATTGGTTGCCTCCTGCACATGCCTTGACCCAGGTATGTGCCTGTGACCAGGAATTGCACCCTCAACCCTTTGGTGTCCCAGCTGACACTCTAACCACTGAGCTACACCAGCCAAAGCTAACCAACCAGTTCTTAAAATTTACCTTCTTTTAGCTTATTATGTTCTTTAGATATTGCCACTCACTATTCTTGCTGTCCATTGCTATGGATACACCAAGTGAAAAACTTAAGCTTTCTGTTCAGAGCATCTGGTCACCAGCGGAGATTGTTTTCTCCAGTAGGATGCTGATCCTTAATACTTAGGTACACAGTTTTTTATAATGTCCTCTGCAAATGATCTTAAAAGGTCATTTTTTCCCCTTGAAATGTATATACTGATTTTAAAAATTCATTTACTCCCAGCTGGCCAGTGTGGCTCAGTTGGTTGAGCATCGTCCTGTGCACCAAACGGTTGCTGATTCTATTCCTGGTCAGGGCATATACCCAGGTTGCAGGTTTGGTTCCTGGTTTGGGTACATGCCAGAGGCAGCTGATTGATGTGTCTCTCTTACATCAATGTTTCTCTTTCTCTCTTCCCCTCCCTCCCTTCCACTCTCTCAAAAAATCAGTGGAGCCCTGGCCAGTTTGGCTTAGTGGTTAAAGCATTGGCCTGCGGTCCAGAGAGACCCGGGTTCGGTTCCCGCTAAGGGCACATACCTCGATTGCAGTTTGTCCCCAGCCCTGGTTGGGGTCATGCAGGTGGCAACCACTTGATGTGTCCCTTTTATGTTGATGTTTCTCTCTCTTTCTCTCCCTCCCACTCTATCTGAACAAAAAATGGAAAAAATGTCCTCGGGTGAGGATTAAAAAAAAAAAAATCAGTGGAAAAAATACCCTCCGGTGAGGATTGACCAAAAAAACAAAAAAAAATAGAAGCTCTATGGGAAGCATTGAAAAATGTACTTACACTTGATCATTGGTCCACATTCTAGGGAAATTATCTAATCACAAAAAAATGACTGCTTCACCCATAAATAATGGGGGATCTTGAATGAACCTGAAACTGAATACCTTGGCTCTTGTGAAATGGGATTTATTTTAGTCCTGAATGTGAGAGAAGATGCTGCGGGAATGCTGCGGATTGTGGCTTTGGTTGGTGTAGTTATCTGAAGACCACCTTGCCTGTGCAGTTTAGCAAATGCTGTTGAGTCTGATGTGTATGGAGCATTGTGCTTAATGCTGGGAATTCAAATAGTTTGTTTCTGCCCTTGAGCTTGCAGTCAAGTGGCCTACAGTGTGTCCTCAGGTAGAAAAAAATGTTTGTTGAGCATTTATCTTAGTCCTTTGGGATCCTGCTTCCAGGTGTATCTTCATTTTGGCTCAAATAAACTCATAAAATTTGGGGGTGGAGGAGATAAAAAAATGTTATCCATCCAAGTTATTATTTTTTTCCTCTCCATTTTTCTATTCAGCTTTTCCCCAGACCTGGCACTGGACTCACCAGGCACTGACCACTTTGTCATCATTGCCCAACTGAAGGAAGAAGTGGCCACTCTGAAGAAGATGCTGCATCAAAAGGATCAAATGATTTTAGAGAAAGAGAAGAAGGTACGGTTTAGTTAATGCTTCTCAGGCCAAAATGCTGCCAGGGTAAGCTATGTGAAATAGGGTGTGATGCTAAATCTATTTAACTGATATTAGTTTGTTACTTACCATTAATGCTTTGAGAGAGATCCAGTGGCAAGGTTGGGATACCCTGGGGAGAGGCTTGCTGTCTGCCAAAGTGACTCATGGTGTGGTATTACCATAATGAATCCACTTCATTCAAGTGGGTTTAGAAAGTTGATTTTCTCAGCATTTGGAGAGAGCATCCATTTCTCAGGGAGAACTTGTGTTAACCAAGTGTACAGAAATGTATAAAACCACAATGCTCCCTCTTAATTCACAGTGAGGTATGTAACTGAGTACCATTTTTCTCAACATAAGCTTCTTTGGAAGGTTATAATCAGAAAGTGCTAAATGAGCATGGAGTTGGGATAGGAGGAGATAGTTATGTAATTGGAATTTTCAATGCTCTCAGGCTAAGAGAACCTGATGCCTCCATTTCTGTTATTGGGATGGCATGTCCGTGGGACAGTAATACTCAAAATATGTGGGCGAGGTCTTCCTCCTCCCTGGACAGTGTTCAGGTAGGCCTTCCTTTATGACTCTTTTGTCACTTTGCTTCCATTGCTGACAACTCCGTTCCTGAGTGACCAACTCTTTAAACATGTTGTGCTCACTTTGGCAGCACATGTACTAAAATTGGAACAATACAGAGAAAATTAGCATGGCCCCACATAAGGATGACATGCAAATTCATGAAGCGTTCCATATCTTAAAAAACAACACGTGAATATCTTCAGTAGAGTCTTACTTCGTTCTATGAGTCATCCTCCCTTTTTAAGGGAACTTTTTACATCCTTGTTCTGCTTCATAATTTATGCCTAGTATTTCTTATTTTCACTTTCTTAGAGAGTATCTCACTTTTGCCTTAATATATTAATTAAAATAGTAATAGCTAACTTCTGTTAGATGCTTACTATGGGCCTGATTCTAGTCTAAGTACTTTGTATGTATTAACTAATTTATCCTCAATCCTTATAATAACACTTTGAAGTAGGAATTATTATTATCATTTTATTTTTTAATGAAGTCTTTTAAAATTTTTATTTATTTTATTAATTGATTTGAGAGAGAGAAACATCAATTTGTTGTTCTACTTATTTATGCATTCATTGGTTGATTCTTGTATGTGCTCTATCAAGGGATTGAACCTGCAACTTCGGCTAATTTGACCAATGCTCTAACCAACTGAGCTATCATCATCATTTTATAGATGAAGAGTGCCTCCAATATTTTTTCTTTTAGGGTTCTAATTCCTTCAACTAGCTGTTTTTCCCTGAGTCTGTATGTTGTCTTGTGCCAAGTTTGGAATGCTATTATTTATTCCATTGGCTAACAGAAACATTTATAACATTAAAACCTTCAAAAGTCTTTCAATCTAATTTCTACCTCATTTTATTTTATTTTATTTTTTATTTTTTTTGTCCTCACCTGAGGACATTTTTCCATTTTTTTGTTCAGATAGAGTGGGAGGGAGAGAGAGAGAGAGAAACATCGACGTGAAAGGAACACATCGCGTGGCTGCCACCTGCACGACCCAACCAGGGCTGGGGACAAACTGCAACCGAGGTACATGCCCTTAGTGGGAACCGAACCCGGGTCTCTCTCGACTGCAGGCCAATGCTCTAACCGCTGAGCCAAACTGGCCAGAGCTCTACCTCATTTTATAGATGAGAACATGGACCCAAAGAAAGTAAATGATATGTCCAATTCACACAACTGAGTAAATGGCAGGACAAAGGAATGAACTCAAATCTTTCCCACTGTACTGTTCTTTCTACTGTGCTGTGCTTTCTTCTTCCAATAAGATGGAGATGCATGGGAAGAGAACAGTATTCTTCCCACTTGACCACATTACTGTCAGATGAAAGTAGACCCAATAGTATTTTCTTTGTGGACTAGATTAGAATGGATTTTTGCAAGATAGAGACAAAACAAACACTTGTTTCTACTGCTTTGCAAAGTTAGGGTTTCAAAAGGAGAAAAAACAAATAGTAGAATGCTCCCTATAACTTGTGAGGATCGTTGACTTGGAATGCTCTGCCTGTCTATCTCTAGCCTCATCTCCTGTCATTCCCCATGCTCATCAGTCATTAGAACAAGCTCTCTGTTACCTCACACTCTGCCTTTGCTTTTACTTTTCCCTTTGCTTAGATGCCCTTCTCCTTCTTTCATGTTCCAGTTGCTGCTTGTACGTCAAAACTAAGCTCACACCTCATTTCTCTGGTTTAAGTATCTCTTCTCTGTGCTCCTTGAATAGCAAGCATAGTCAACAGAAGGTGGCTTTGGTTTGAATTCCAGCTCTGCCTCTTGCTAACATGTACGATCTTGGCTACATTACTTAACCCTTCCTAAAACTTAGTTTTCCTACCTATAAAATGGGGAGAAGAATATTATCCCCCACAGGATTATCATAGTATTGCATGAATTGAAGTAATCAGTTTTCTTGGAATGGTAAAAATTCAGTACACAGAAACAGCTATTCTCATGGCTTCTCTGAAACCATCAGTCATAATGCATTATAATCACTATTTCAAGTATACATGAAATTTTTTAAATCTGCTAGTGGTTAAATATCACAAATACTACTTCAGGATTTTGTGTAATTTTCAGGAAATCTTTAGGAAAAATAGGATATGGAATTCCTTGGCTTTAATTTAGGTATGGATCTTCAGGAAAGCCTTGGATTTTATTAATTTGGACCATTTAGCTCTCTGGTACAAAAAAAATTTTCATTGCACAGAAATTTCTTCTGGTTACTCTGCCTTTTTCCCTCAGATCACAGAGTTGAAGGCTGATTTTCAATACCAAGAATCTCAGATGAGAGCCAAAATGAACCAAATGGAGAAAACCCACAAAGAGGTCACAGAACAATTGCAGGTGATGACTGCTTATTTTATGTGGTAACTCATGTATTTAGCTGATTATATTTTATTTATTTATTTTTATCCTCACCCAAGGACATTTTTTCCATTTTTTGTTCAGATTAGAGTGGGAGGGAGAGAGAGGAAGAGAGAGAAAGAAAGAAAGATCAATGTGAAAGGGACACATGGAGTGGTTGCCACCGCACGACCCCAACCAGGGCCAGGGACAAACTGCAACCGAGGTACGTGCCCTTAGCGGACACCGAACACGGGTCTCTCTGGACCACGGGCCAACGCTCTCACCACTGAGCAAAACCGGTCAGGGCATAATGATGATATTTTAAATCATCATCTCTTAGGTTTATTTTTTTCTCCATGTATTGACAAATCACTTTAATCCACCTTATACATCTATTTTATTGTTTCACTCTTAGATGTGTTCTGATCTTTTCCCCTCAAAACAGTGGAATTAATTAAAGGTGTTTTTTGAATTTGGGATAAACCAGATGTGATTCCAGATTTCTGAATTATAAGTTCTGTTTATCCAGCACATTAGGCACTCCATGGTTTGTTTGTGTTGCATAAAGCATCCTTTTGTAATGGCTCCCAGGCGATTGACGAATACTGATTAACCTCCAGCAAATACCTTCTTTTCCCCTGAACCAAACTCTAGAGGATTGGTTCTCAACCTTCCTAATGCTGCCACCCTTTAATACAGTTCCTCATGTTGTATGTGGGCTTATCGACATGTGGGCGGACCTGGCTGGAGATGGATAGAGGAGCGGTGTCTTGGTTCCTGAGACCATTGGAAATACGTGTTTTCCAATGGTCTTAGGCGACTCCTGTGAAAGGGTCGTTTAACCCCCAAAGGGGTCACGATCCACGAACCATTGCTCTAGAGCTTTCTGTTATTTTCTCTAAGATTTGTTCTCTTCATGACCCTCTACATCTGCCTTAGCATCTGCCTTAAAAACATATCCTATCCTGCTAAAACATCCTTCTTACACTGATTTTTTTTTTTTAAGGCCAAAAACAGAGAGCTCCTGAAGCAAGCAGCTGCCTTGTCCAAGAGCAAGAAGTCGGAGAAGTCAGGAGCTATAACCTCTCCGTGAGAGACCACAAGAAGGTTCCCAGCAACAGCAAATGGATTCCTAGGCTAGGGTTGGTGACTTGGGAACGGCAAGCCTTCTTAAGAAATCTCTATTTTATTAGTTATCCTTTGTGTGGTTGCAGTGGGCTGAATGGAAACACCTGGTTTGTGCTGTGTTATGACTGCATGCTTGAATGTTTGGGATTTCAAGCTCTTTTTCTCTCACTCTCACACTCTCAATCGTCTCTCTTTCCCCTTTCCCTCACCTTCTCTCAGTACTACCAACTGTCTTTCTCCTGATACTACTCTTTTCTTTTTCTTCTTTTTTTATTTTTGTGATGGTTACTGCTCAGTGTTATGTGCAGAATGATTTTTTTTGTCCACCGTTGCATCCTGCCATACCCATGAGCAAACAGTTTGGCATTAATTTTATATCACTGCCATCCTCTGAACTTTGAAAACTGCCACCTTAAGACTTGGTACAATGGACGAGGCTTTCTCTCTCCAATAAAACTTTTGCTTCAGGGTATACTCTTGGGTTTATTTCCAGGTATATTATGTATGAACTTTGTACTATGTATAGCCAGAGTTTTATTTATTTTTAAAAAAAAGAAATTTTCTTGATAAAGGAATAATGGTAGCCTAGCTTGTTGTTCTTGTAAAAGTGATGCCTCTTTTTTAAAAAGTCCTACTCTAGCTTTTAGTAAAAAAAAAAAAAAAAAAAATCAAATCTTTTCTTTCTTGTTACCTTGGAGTCTTAAAAACTGATTGTTAAGGTGAAATAATTCAATGCATAAGTATGGAGTTAAGTGCCTTTTGGAGAGTTTCTTGGAAGAAGATTTAAGAAGATACTTAGGGAGGTAGCAAAGATTGAGTGGTCTGTCTTTATAAGTAAGGGCAGAGAGAAAGGTTGTCCAGGTTGTACTGGACACTTCCCTTCCCCACACCTTTCCTGATTGTTTTTATGTGACTGATTTTGAATTCTCACACTGCCACTTCTTTAAAAAAAAAACAAAAAAACCCTTACTTGCTTATATCAGTTGTCACACTTGACCTTTGTCAGAAAACATTTTTTTTTTTACATGAGCAGATTCAAAATGGGATAATATTTAAATCACAAACATTTTGGAAGTCAGTACAAGCTGCTCAAATATGGACTGAGTGGCTGAAAGCAATGATATCACTGTAACTTCTCCCCACTCCTCCTCACCTACCCCAGCCTATACACTCCCTGCTTTTAACAGAAATGTATTGAAAACAGTTGCTTCTCAGAAGCAGCTTGGTCTTAGCCAGAATTGTTCATGTCGTGTTTTCCTTTCTTAACCCAGTAAAGAGGGCACATGGATTTAATTTTCTAGGAGAGGGGATAAGTTTGCATGTCTAGCCATACTCTCAGGTCCTCTATATATTTGTGAAAGAAATTACAGATGTGTATTGTGCCATGAAACAGTAAAACCAACTACCTTGGAATCATTAATGCAGGGGGATACTTGAGTTAGAGGTGATCATGAGGGCAGATGACATTTGTACCTCAGTCTACCAAAATTGTAGCAGTAAGTTTAACTTACTAGGCATTTCCTAGAAGCAGACACTTACAAGTTGTGATAGCATTCTCACAAGTGGAGCCATGTTTATAATGGAACAAAGATGTGGAAATGGGTGGCTTCCTTCTGATAAGAGAAACAATGGGCCATGTTGTTTCTATATCACTGTAGTAGGGGATATAATTTTTCCTTCCAAGCAAGGGAAAAGGCAGTGCTAAATAGTTTTATAACTTTTTGAATGAGAAACTTTTAGGTAAAGACAAACCGTCAGATAATATTTTTCAAATGCATATACATTTAATGTGGGGAAAAGATTACAAAAAAAAGTTACAGTTGTGGTTTTGTTTGTTTTTTAATTTTAAAGACTTGAGAAATTCTGTTACATGACATGACAATATAAAATATATTTAGTTTTATACTGAATCTTTTTTTAAGATATTGGCACTTAATATAAAGCAAATTCATGCATTTTCTAACTTTCCACAAGTTCTAAAAACGGGGAGGAAGAAACCTCAGTCTTACAATTTTGTTTTTTTAAAATCACAACACTGTTTTACCATGAAATTGAGTAGCTAACTTTTGGTAACACCTTTTGTTTATTTGTATGTTTGTAATAATGGACATTTTAAAACATAGGAATGTTTTGGTTTGTACAGACTTTGACAAATGTGTTAATAAAAATTCATATTGACTCAAGTATACTTGTTTGTGTTTTTTTTCTCATTTGTTTCTTGCTGGTTCACCAATAAATCCTATTATCCCCTACAACCTAGAAAGCAGTTTCTTTCTTTCTTTTTTTTTTGTGGTATGTGCCCCTAGTGGGAACTGAACCTGGGACTCTCTGGTCCACAGGCCAACACTCAACCGCTGAGCCAAACTGGCCAGGGCACAGTCAGTTTCTTTTGCTGTTGACTTAAAAAGTTAAAGGCCTGCCCTGGCTGGTTTGGCTCAGTTGGATGGGCAGCATCCCATGCACTAGTGGTTGCTGGTTTGATTCCCTATCAGGGCATATGTGTGGGTTTCTAGCTTGTTCCCCGGGTTGGAAGGCGGTGTACAGGGATCATCCAAATTGGTGTTCCGCTCTCACATCGATGTTTCTCTCTCTCTTTCTCCTTTTCCCTTCCCCTCTCTAAAAAAATCAATAAAAGACATTTTTTTTAATTAAAAAGCATAACTGTGGTAATAGGGAGTTTCATGTCCATCAGAGAATAGCTCATTCTTTTTCTTCTGTGATTTTATTTATCCAGTTTAAGTGCTTGCTTGGTTATAAGCACTGTGCTAGGCAATGAGGATACAGCAGTGAAGAAAACAGTGATCTCATGGGGCTTCCTTTTAGAATATTGAATAACACCATTGTTCCTTGATTTTATATTTATCATTATTATTCAAAATATATAGGATGAATCTTAAGGTACGAGTGAAAGATTTTTGAGAAACCATCTCAAGAAGGAGAAGAATGTGTTAATTTGAAACCTTGGTATTAGCAGTTTAAATTAATAACGTACCTTTCAGGTATTATCATCACATCCTTGTCATTCTATTTTATAGACTCAGTGACAACTTATTTTCTCTAAAAATATTGAAGACAGTTTCATTTTGTAGGTGCTATGATCTGAATGTTTATGTTCTCCCCAAAATTCATATGTTAAAATCCAAATCTCCAAACATGATAGTATTAGGAGTTGCGGCCTTTGGGAGGTGCTTAGTCTCCGTCCTCGTGAATAGAATTAATGCCTTTATAACCCTTTATAAAGGAGGTTCCTGAGATAGGTTCCCTTGTACCTTCTAACACAGCCAGAGGGAGTTGGCTGTGAACTAGAAAGAGGGCCCTTATTATTAAGACAAACATGCTGGCATCTTGATCTTGGACTTTCCAGCCTCCAGAACTGGGAGAAATTTCTGTTGTTTATAAGCCACCTAGTCTGTGATTTTTATTAGAGCATCCCAAACAGACTAAGACTATGTTTATGACCACCTTTATTGTGTAAATTTATATTAATTTATACATTTATTCAGCCTTATACATTTATTTAGCAATAAAAAAGACCAAAGCCCTGGCTGGTGTGGCTCAGTTGGTTGGAGTGTGGTCCTATGCACCAAAGGAGCATGGGTTTGATCCCTGGTCAGGACACATACCCAGGTTGCCATTCGATCACGTGTAGGAGGCAACCAATTGATATTTCATATTGATGTTTCACTTACCCTCTCTCTTTCAAATCAATTAAAAAAATATATCCTGGAGTGATAAATATGTATGTGTGTGTGTGTGTGTGTGTGTGTGTGTGTGTATATATATATATATATATACACATGCAACATGATAGATAAATCTAAAAAATATCACGTTAATTGAAACAAACCAAACACTAAAAATACATGAGATATGATTTCATCACTATGAAGTCCAAGAACAGGTAAAACTAATTTGTAGTGATAAAAATCAGAAACTGATTTCTGGGGATAAGTGGAATTGATTAGAAAGGAGCATAGCTTAAGAAAACTTTCTGGGATGATGAAAATGCTCTATATCTTGTTTTGGGTGGTGGTAGCATGTATATACAAAATCAGCCCTGGCCGTTTTGGCTCAGCGGTTAGAGTGTCAGCCTGCAGTCCAGAGAGACCCGGGTTCGGTTCCCACTAAGAGCGCGTATCTCAGTTGCAGTTTGTCCCCGGCCCTGGTTGGTTGTGCAGGTGGCAGCCACTTGATGTGTCCCTTTCACGTTGATTTTTCTCTATCTTCCTCTCTCCCTCCCACTCTATCTGAACAAAAAATGGAAAAACATCCTCGGGTGAGGATAAAAACAAAACAAGACAAAACAAAAAACCAAATCAAATAAAAGTAGTTATCCGTGTCCTGTGCTAGCCTTTCTTTTTATTTTTTTATTTGTTCAGAGTGGGAGGGAGAGAGAGGAACAGAGAGAGAGAGAGAAAAACATCGATGTGAAAGGGACACATCGAGTGGCCGCCACCCGCACGACCGACCAGGGCCGGGGACAAACTGCAACCGAGATACGCGCCCATAGCGGGAACCGAACCCGGGTCTCTCAGGACCGCAGGTCGACGCTCTAACCGCTGAGCCAAACCGGCCAGGGCTAGCCTTTCTTTTTAAATTGATTTGAGAGAGAGAGAAAGACACTGATTTGTTGTTCCATGTATTTATGCATTCATTGGTCGCTTATTATATGTCGCTAACTCCGGATCAAGCCCACAACCTTGGCATAGGGGAACAATGCTCCAACCAATTGAGCTATCATGCCAGGGCAAATAACCACTTTTTTTTATCCTCACCCGAGGACATTTTTCCATTTTTTGTTCAGGTAGAGTGGGAGGGAGAGAGAGGAAGAGAGAGAGAGAGAGAGAGAGAGAGAGAGAAACATCGATGTGAAAGGGACACATCGAGTGGCTGCCACCCGCACGACCAAGCAGGGCCGGGGACAAACTGCAACCGAGGTACGTGCCCTTAGCGGGAACCGAACCCCGGTCTCTGTGGACCGCAGGCCGACGCTCTAACCGCTGAGCCAAACCGGCCAGGGCAACCACTTTTTATTTTAGATGGAGAAAGAAAACAGTAACAACAACCACTCTGTCTTCAGTTACTAGGAAAAAAAATATCTTTATTGAACTTCACTTTACAGAGAGTCAAATGTAAATGAAAACATTCTAAAGACTATTTTATAGTTTAAAAAAGTACAATTTACTACAAGATGACATAAAGCGATAGATTCTAAGAAATGGTAGGATTTTAACCAGAGTGAGAACCCCCCAAATTATCTGTCCCTTTCCATAGAGAAAGACATGCTCCAACAAAAAGTAAAGATAGACTAGCTTACAAAAGTTCTTAGGCTGAATGCAGGTTCATTCACCCATTTGGGGTCCCCTCTGGCACAGGCAAGCAGCAGCTTCTTTTTGTCATTCTCTAGAGATTGCAAAGCAGGCTGAGGTGGGGTGGGGTGAACATAGGAAACAAACACTGCCAGTTCCCCTTCAAGTCTCCCTATCTTGATCTTTCAAACCAAAATTCTACCCATGTCTTTCCATTTACCATAAGCTACAAAATGCAGTCTTCTACAGGAACATTGAAGTTATACATTCCAAATTACTTAAGGAAATGGGTTAAATTTTTTGAGGGTCCAGTTCTCCAAGAAATACTGATTTGGGCTATAGATGAAGAGGCAACTTGGGAGAGATTTAGATGAAGAATGAATTTGGGAATATGAGAATGCATTTTAGGAAAGTAGTGAGATGACAATGGAGTTAGCGTAGTGTTTGGGATTAGCAGTCAAATCTCAGAAAAGCAAATTAACCTCTGTGATCTTAATTTTCTCAATTGCAAAAGTTACTTTACCTTAATATTTCAAAAATCAATTGTTCATTATCTATTCTGAAGGCAGAAATATAGTTAAAACATGGTCTCTCGAGGTGAAAAAGCTTATGAACAATTGAATTGCAGTGATGATTCACACATATTACGTGCTCAATAAATATTATTTTATTGTTTTGATTAAAAGAGGGGTGGAAGGAGAAATGAAAGTGGTTTATAAAACATAAAAGTACTCCCCAAATACTAACAAAGCCATAGAGGATGGAAGTAGAATGAGGTATTTCAGGAATTTGGTTAAGGATCTGAGTTTCAACGTTGTCGAATACTCCTGTATTTGGGTCTGAATCCTTGTAACAGAACAGAATAGGATGTTAGGGCTGAGATCATCTGGTACAATTTTATGCTAATTGAAAACTCTTGCCTTCTGTCACCGTGCCCTGGTGAGAACCACCACCACCACCACCGCAGCTACTCCAATCACAGGTCCAACGGTGTGACGTCATAGCCCCGCCCCGTATCCCCAGGCTCAGGGAGTCCAGTCTCTAAGCCTCTATCCACCGCACTAATTTCAGGGGCGCAGGCGCACTGTCGGGTAGGGCGGGGCCGACGCGTGCGCAATGTGGAGGGCGGGGTTAGTGCGCACGCAGCCTCAGCCCCTTCTCCGCCCTTTCTCTTCCCGGTTTCCCCGTCAGCCTGCGGTCTGGTTTGGTAGCTGCTTCCGGTTGGACCTCCGTGCAGGGCGAGTCGGTCTCAGCTTCTCGTCATGTCCTACGGTCCCTTAGACATGTACCGGAACCCAGGGCCCTCGGGGCCCCAGCTTCGGGACTTCAGCAGCATCATCCAGACATGCAGCGGCAATATCCAGCGAATCAGCCAAGCCAGTGAGTCGGGGGACAGAGCTGAGGGGGCGGGGGCCTCCCGGGGACAGGTCTTGGTGAGGCTGCTGGCACACGGAGCCAGGCTGGGGCTGCGGCCAAGGCCACACCTGAAACCGTGTCGGGCTTCCACTCTGGGGGCGGCGAGCTGTCATCCCCCAGTCTTGCCAGGCCCAGACTCCCGTAGAGTCCTGATCCCTAGCTATAAGGAAGCTCGAGTCTCTTAAGAGTTATGCCCTCCTGGTGTTGGGACCAAAACAGCAGTCTGACAGTCCCAGGATGGGAAGGTGTGTGTGTGTGTCACCTGGAGATCCGTGAGTGAGTTGAGTTGGCGCAGTGGTCAGCCGAAAATTTCCTGTCATCCGCCCCCTAACTCCCCGCCCCCCAACTCTCTTTCCTCTTTGGCCAGTTTGTGTCGGTGGTTGTTTACTGATTTAGACTTAAAGTTTACTTTCTGCTCAGCTCTGGCTCCTTGGAAATCAGCAGCTTTCAATGAAGGGAAGTGGTGGGTGAATGTGTTTGGGTGACTTAAAACAGAGTTCTTCCTTTAAATGTATTCGGAAATCAGATACAGTGACTTGTATTTGAGGGGTGAGATGACTTGTCTTAACGAAGAGAATTCACTGGAAACGAAAGACATAATTCTGCCTTTGTAGCAAAAGATTTACATATATTTTTGTATTTCAAATCGATGAGGCTTTTGTTTTCCTTCCCTATTTAGCTACTCTTTAAAAAAATTTTTTTTTTCTTTCTTGACTCTAGAGAGAGGAAGGAAGAGGAAGAGAGAGACAGAAACATTGATGAGAAAGAACATCGATTGGCCACCTCCTTCATGCCCCCCATTGGAGATTTGGCCCACAACCTGGGCATGTGCCCTGATGGGGTATCCAACCAGCAACCTCTTGGTGCATGGGTCAAAGCTCAGCCACTGAGCCACACCAGCTGGGCCCTATTTAGCTACTCTTAACAAATCTGATACACAGAGAAACTCAGGGACTTGGCCACAATCACATAACAAGTAAGACATGGTAGAGCTGGTGGTGGATTTCAGAATGTCATTGTTTGTCTTAAAACTGTCACCACAAGTAGGGTCTGAGTGAGACTAGATGAATGAGTCAAATACAGGCTATTTCTTGTGCCTGGAGATCAGCTCAGAGTCTTATAAACAGGAGGTCAGCAACAGCAACTTTACTTGGAAAAATGGTGATCATCATTCTTGTTGTTATTGTGTTTTTGTGAGCTTGGCTGTACTCTGTTAGTAGGCAGAACTAGCTGATCCTGAATTACAATTATTTTTGGCATTTTAAAGAACAGTCTATCACTTTGCTTTTAAATTTAAATACACAGTGTAGAATGTGAGAGGTGGGACATTTCTGCTCTGAAGGGATTGAGACTGGCTAGAAATATAGTACTTTGTGTTCCAATTTCTCTTTGTGAGGGAGCTGTAATACAGGTTAGATCACAAAATTCTGGCTCAAGGCTTAAAGTTTTCTGCTGGGGCTAAATCTAATTTTTTATTTTTTGTTGTTAATTCTCACCTGAGAATATTTTTTTCAACTAGAGTGGAATGGAGGAAGGAAGGGAGGGGGAGAGAGAAAAAAAACACATTATCTGAGAGAGACATACTGATTAGCGTCCTTTCTCATGTGACCCAACTGGGCTGGGGATTAAACCTGCATCCCAGGTACATGCCCTTGACCCGGACTCGAACCTGAGACCCTTCTGTGCTCGGGCCAATGCTCTAACCATTGAGCAATCGTCCAGGGCAGCAAAATCTAATTTTAATGTCTGTGAAATCATTCTACATATCAGTCTATGTAGTGAGTACCATAGGAACTGGCACCAGTTCTCTTGTTTTTGTTTTTGTTTTTTTGGTATGTGCCCATTGCGGGAACCAAACCTGGACTCTCTGGTCCGCAGGCCAATGCTCCAACCGTTGAGCCAAACCAGCCAGGGCGGCACCAGTTCTTTTAAAAGGTTTCTGTGGAGTGTATAACCAAAATACAAAGTTTAAAGAGATCAGTGTTATAGAAGAGGTATAAACATTATGTAGGTATTTAGGGAAGAGAGAGATCATTTTCAATTGGGAAGGATCAGGAAAGGCATTAGGGCATTTGAGCTAGGTCTGGAAAGATGGTGGAAAGGATTTGAACTTTTTTTTTTTTTTTTTTATCCTCACCCGAGGACATTTTTCCATTTTTTGTTCAGATAGAGCGGGAGGAAGAGAGAGGAAGAGAGAGAGAGAGAAACATCGACGTGAAGGGACACATCGAGTGGTTGCCACCCGCACGACCAACCAGGGCCGGGGACAAACTGCAACCGAGGTACGTGCCCTTAGTGGGAACCGAACCCGGGTCTCTCAGTACCGTAGGCCGACGCTCCAACCGCTACGCCAAACCGGCCAGGGCGGATTTGAACTTTTTTTAAAAGATACATTTTTATTGAATTGTTAGAGAGAGAGGAAGGGAGAAAGAGATAGAAATATCGATTGGCTGCCTCTTGCACACCCCCTACTGGGGATGGAGCCCGCAACCCAGGCATGTGCCCTGACCCAGAATCGAACTGGGACTTCTCAGTCCGTGGGACAACACTCAATCCACTGAGCTACACCTGCCAGCAAGGATTTGAACTTTTGACAGTAAGGAATGGTAGAGTATTTCAGGAAGGAATAAAATGAACTACACATGGTAATGAGAAAACATGGGGTATGTATAGAAAAGTAGAATGATTTATGCCCTGGCTGGTTTGGCTCAGCGGTTGAGCGTTGGCCTGTGGTCCAGAGAGATCTGGGTTCGGTTCCCGCTAAGGGCACATACCTCGGTTGCAATTTGTCCCTGGCCCTGGTTAGGTCGTGTGGGTGGCGGCCACTCGATGTGTCCCTTTCACGCCGATGTCTCTCTCTTCCTCCCACTCTATCTGAACAAAATATCAAAAAATGTCCTCGGGTGAGGATAAAAAAAAAAAGAAAAGTAGAATGATTTAATTTGACTAGAGTGGTAGACTCTAGAAAGTAGTGGAAAATAGGGTGAGAAAGGTAAGTTCGGACCAAACAAGAAGGGCTTTACATGCTAAACTGAGGGAGGGGTGGATTTAATTCTTTAGGCATTTATATATAAAATTAGAAGGGAGATACTGGAATCAAAGACACCAGTTAGGGACTGTGAAAATAAAAAGGAAGGAAAAACTCTGGCCGATTTGGCTCAGCAGTTGCAGCATCGGCCTGCGGACCAGAAAGTCCTGGGTTCGGTTCTTGCTAGGGGCACGTACCAAAAAAGAATGGAAGGGAAGGATAGAAGAGGTTTTGGTGATATAATTGATAAGATTTAACTGTTGGTTGGGAATTGGGCCCAAGGGACATTGGAGCCAACCATTAATAACATTAATAACTAGCATTTAGCCCTGGCTGGTTTGGCTCAGCGGTTAGAGCATCTGCTTGTGGTCCAGAGAGACCCAGGTTCGGTTCCGCCAAGGGCACCACTTCGGTTGTAGTTTGTCCCCGGCCCCGGTTGGGGTCATTTGATGTGTCTCTCTCACATCAATGTTTCTCTCCCTCTCTTCCTCTCGCTCGATCTGAAGATGAATGCAAAAGTGTCCTCGGGTGAGGATAAAAAAAACAAAGAAAAACCTAACCTTTAGGTACATAGTATATGCCAGGTGGTATGAAAAATTCTTTACATGCATTATGTTACTTAATTTTATAACAACCCTGTAAAGTAATTACCAATATTATTTTTATTTTGCAGATTAGGAAACAGGCTGAGAAAGATTAAATAATTACCCAGCTAACATGGCAATACCTGAATTTGAAACCAGGTCTGTCTCTTATAATGAGCAATTAGCCTTTTTATAATTTTTAATTAATATTACAGTTTTGTTGCAGTTAACACTTCAAGTTACAAGTGACTTTTTTTTTACCCTCCATAGGAAACTATGGAGAATAGCTGAGGCTGTCAAACTTTGTCTTGTGGTGTGTCTACCTCCCTTGCTAGATTGTTAGCTACTTAGAAACATGGGACATGACTTAATTCATCTTTACATTTCTAGTACTTATCTCAGTCCCAAGCATATGATAGTTTCATTCATTTACTGCTCAACAAATATTCTTTGAGCACTTGCTCTGTGCTGGGGATGGAATGATAAATAAGACAGACAAAATCCCTTCCCTGATATTATATGTGTGTGTGTGTGTGTGTGTGTGTGTGTACAAATGCATACCTACACACATATAAATAATATTGAATAATAAATGCTCTGAAGGAAAAGCAGGATAAGGGGATAGATGGAGAGTGAGGAGAAAAAGGGTGGAAGTGCTATTTGAGATAAGTTGGTCAAGGAAGGCCTCTCTGAGAAGGTGACATTGAGTAGAATGAAGTGAGGGAGAGAGCCATGTGAGTAGCTGGGGGAAGGCATTCTAGGCAGAAGGAATAGCAAGAGCAAAGATCTTGGTATGTTCAAAGAATAGCAGGGAGGCTAGTGTGGTTTCACTGCAGGTTAGAGAAGAGCATGGTAGGAAGAGGTCAGGAAGGTAGCCAGGGATCATATCATATAGTCTTGATGCTTAATAAATTGTGTTTAGTAGGTTTGAATGAATGAATGAAGTTTTTCTATCACCTTGGAACTCTTCTTGCTGCATTCTCCTTGTACTGTGTGGTACATGCCACATCTTATTTACCCTAGGCCATATGAGTTAGAATTCTTCCTTGGGGTTGTTTGGTGAGGAACTGGGAATTTGAAATTGGTAGGTTGACATTGCTTCTATCCAGTTAGTGCTATCAGGCTAGTACCTGTTCCCCAAACCTCTCAAAACATGGCCATCATATGTAAGTATACACTCTGAACGTGAGCTCATACATATACCCACATCTTTCCAACACCGGAAGCACCTGTACCCATTGAAAGTATGAGAGAATAACTCTTCTTTTTCTTTCTTGTCCAGCCAACAGACGTGGGTTTGGAATAGCTGAGCATATCAGCCTGAAATATGGCAGGCCACTGTGAGGCCATTG